GTCAAATAACAAAGGATGACAGCAACATTGGAAGAAAGGACTACAAAGATACTACAAACATACAGAAAATAATTAACAAAATGACAATAGTAGGCCCTTACCTATCAATAATAACTTTAAATGTAAATAGATTAAACTCCCCTGTAAAAAACATGACATGGCTTAATGGACAAAACAAGATCATCCAAGTATATGCTGTCTACAAGATATTAGCTGTAGATTTAAGGACACTTATAAGCTGAAAGTGAAACATGGAAAAAGATCCCATGCAGATGACAACCAAACAGAGCAAGGATGGATGTACATATACCCAAAAAAATCACCTTGAAATAATACAAAACTGTAATAAGAAACAAAAAAGGTCATTATATGATTAAGGAATCAATTCAACAGGAAGATAGAACATATATATACACCCAACATCAGGGTATATAAGTATATAAAGCAAACACTGACAGAGCTGAAAGGAAGAACAGACATCAATACAATAATAGTAGGAGATTTCAATACTCCAATTTGAATAATGGATAGAATATTCAGACAGCAAATCAATAAGGAACTACCAGACTTGAACAACACAACAGACCAAATGAACTTAACAGATCCACAGAATGTTCCATGCAACAGCAGAAGAAAATGGATTCTTCTCAAGTGTATACAAACATTCTCTAGGATGGGTCACAAAACATGTCTTTATGAATATAAAAATATTAAGCTCACACCAAGTATATCCTCCAACCACAATGAAGTGGAACTAGAAATCAATAACAGAAGGAAAATAAAACAATTCACAAATATGTGGAATTTAAACAACACATCCTGGGATTACTGAGTCAAAGAAGACAAGAAAATATCATGAGACAAACGTAAACAAAGACACAAAATACTAAAATTTATGAGATGCAAAAAAAGCAGTACTATGAGGTAAATTTATAGCAATAAAAGCCTACGTTAGAAAAAAAGAAAAATATCAAATAAACACCCAACTTTACACCTCAAGAAACTAGAAAAAGAAAGACAAATTAAACCCAAAGTTAGGTGAAGAAGGAATAAACACTACAGCAGAAATAAATGAAGTAGAAAACACAAAAAGAGAACAATGATGAAACTAAGAGCTGTTTTTTTTAAAGATAAACTAAGAAGACAAACAATGAGCAAGACTAACAAAGAAAAAAAGAGAGAAGACTTAAATAAAATCAGAAAACATAAAATAAGAAATGAAAGAGGAGAAATTACAACTGATGCCACAGAAAGAGAAAAGATGATTATTTTCTTTCATAAATCATAATAGAGAACTATTATGAAAAACTATATGCCAACAAATTGAATAAGTTAGAATATATGGCAAATTCCTATAAACATACAAAATATAGAGGCTGAATTCAGAAATAAGAAAAAGACAGAAAACATGAACAGACCAATAATAAACAAGAAGACTGAATCAGTTATCAAAAACCTTCTAGCAAGGAAAGCTCCAGGACCAGATGTCAACATAGATGAATTCTACCATATATTTAAAGAAGAATTAATAACAGAACTTCTTAAACTTCATTCAAAAACAACAGTATAGGGAACACTTCCAAACTCATTTTGTGAGGCCAGTACCACTCTGATACCAAAACCAGACAAAGACACCAAAAGAAAAAAAATTTATAAGATAATATACCTGATTAACATACATACAAGAATCCTCAACTAAACACTAGCAAACCAAATTCAACAACGTATTAAAAGAATTATACACCATGACCAAGTGGGATGCATCTTTGGGATGCAAGGATGTTTCAACATACACAAATCAATCATTAACAGAATGAAAAATAAAAATCATATGATTATCACAATAGATGCAGAAAAGTATGATTTCACATCCATTCATAATGAAACTTCTCAATAAAGTCAGAATGTTAGGAACTTGCCAAAATATAATAATTAAGTCCATATAGAAAAATTCCACAGCTAGCAGCACATTCAAAAGTGAAAAACTGAAAACCTTTTCTCTAAGACCTGGGCAAAGAAAGGATGCCCAGTCTTGCTGCTTCTATTCAATATAGTACTGAAAGTCCTAAAGAGAGTGATTAGAAAAGAAAAACAAATAAAAATCATCCAAATCTGAAACAAATAAGTAAAATCATCTGTTTTCAGATGAAATATTCATATATGCAGAAAACACTAAAGATTCCACAAAAACTCTTAGAATAAGCAAATTCAGTAAAGCTGCATGATACAAAATCAACATTAAAAACACCATTGTATTTCTACACACTAGCGAGAAACTATCTAAAAAGGATATCAAGAAAATAATCTCATTTACATGAGTACAAGAAGAATAAAATACTTAAAAGTAAAATTAAGTAGGAAGATGAGAGATGTGTACATTAAAAACTAAAAAACATTGATGAGAGAAATTTTTTTAAAATAAATAAATGTAAAGATACCCTACATTAAGATGGAAGACTATTGTGAAAGTGTCCAGAATACCTAGAGGGATTTAGACATTGATTGACATTTGCTTCCAAATCCAATGGCATTTTTTCCAGAAACAGAAAATAAAGAAAAAAACCCCTAGAATTCATCTGGAACTACAAAATATCCCAGTCAAAGCAATTTTGAGCAAGATGAACAAAGCTGGAGTCATCACATGTCCTAATTTCAAATTACATTACAAAGCTATATTGATCAAAACCATACGGTATTGGCATAAAAACAGATATATTGTCCAGCGAAACAGAATGGAGTATCCAGAAATAAACCCACACACATACTGTCAACTGGTCTTACACAAGAGAGCCAAGAATACACAATGGGGAAAGGACAGTCTCTTCAATAAATGGTGTTGGGCAAACAATTTTTCCAGATGAAAAGAATGAAATCAGACCCTTCTAACTTACACAAAACTCAATTCAAAATATATTAAATATTTAAATGTAAGGCATGAAACTGTAAAATATCTGGAAGAAAATATAGAGAAAAAAAGTTTGACACTGGCCTTAGCAATGAAAACTTGGATATGATACCAAAACACACAGGCAACAAGGCAAAAACAGACAAATGGGATTACCTCAAACTAAAAAGTTTCTGAACAGAAAAGGAAATGAACAAGAAAATAACAAGGCAACCTATGAAATGGGAGTGTATTTGTAAACTTTGTATCAGATAAAGGGTTAATTTCCAAAATATATAAGGAAGACATAAAACTCAATAGCAAAATAATAATAATAATAATCATATGATCTGAATTTTAAAATAGGCAAAGGAACTGAAGAGACATTTCTCCAAAGAAGACATACAAACAATCAGCAGGTATATGAGAAGATTCTTAACAGAACTAACCATCAGGGAGATGCAATAAAAACTGCAATGCACTATCACATCACACATGTCAGAATGACAATTATCAGAAAAACAAAAGACATAAAGTGTTGGTAAGGATATATAGAAAAGGGAATCCTTATACTTTATTGGAATAAATGTAAATTGATGCAGCCACTATGGAAAACAGTATGGAAGGTCCACAAAAAATTAAAAAAAGAATTACCATATGATCTAGCAATTCCATTTCTAGGTATATATCCAAAGTAACTGAAATCAGGATCTCAAAGAGATATCTACACTCCCATGTTCACTATTCACAGTAGCCAAGACAAAGAAGCAACCTAAAAGTCCATCTGTGGTTGAAAGGATATATAAAAAACTGTGGCCTATACATATAGTGGAATTTTACACAGCCACAAAAAAGAAGGAATTCTAAGGACATAGTTGAACTCAACACCACCATGAATTACCTGTTATAACTGTCGTCTATCAAGAGAATACACACTCTCCTCAAGTTCAAATGTAACATTCACTGTGACAGACAATATACTCCACCACAGCACACACTTTAACAAATTAACAAGAACAGAAATTATACAATGTCTCCTCTCAGATCATAATGTAATTAAACAGAAATCAATGGAGATTAAACAACACACTTCTAACACATGGGTCAAAGAAGATATCTCAAGACAAATTAAAAAAAGTGTTTTGAAAATTTTAAATTTCAACAAAATATTAACAAAATTTGTGGGGTATACTAAATAATAATTAAAATAGTACTCAGGGATTAAGAAAGAGAATTAGAAAATAAGATTGCCTTCTGTTCTCAATGCCGTAAAATTTAACTCCTATTTCAAAAGTAAAGGAAAAAATATATCCCTGGGATGAGAGGTAACCCCTATGGAAGTTTTTTATATGGAAATATCTGGTTATATATAAATAGATGATTTAAGCTACATTTCAGGAGGCTTAGTGAGTACAAATTAAGAAATCATCCCCCTGTCAATTTCACTAGGCAAAAGTAATGGACACTGACCTATAAATATGCATTACTTATGATTTTAACAGAAAATTTTCATAACCATCAAATGTAAATTACATTTTATTCCAAATATTTTAAAATATTATTTTTAACAAAATGTTCAGGGTCACTGAAGAGTAATCTGAAGTAGGGAAATCTGCCATAAATTTACTGATTATGAATAATATGTTAAGCATAATGTAAAAGAGAAAACTAAATTAAATTGCTGCTGGAAGTTACAGCATAATTTTCACCCTAAGCATAGATACAAGATGCTGAGTATAAAGCAATGTGAAAACAGTTAATAAACAGTATAGATCAAATTTATTACTTAGGATTAATAACAGTAACATGGAGAGAATTCTTCAGGATTATTAGTTATAAATTAATTTGCAATAGCAAACAAGGCCCTATAAATGGGAAAATCCTATTTCCTAATACAATCAGTTACAAAATGCTAAATTTCAAAGCATTTCATAAAAATATTAACTCCACTAAATCCTTGTCATTTATTATTTGATGAAGTTTTATTTTTATTGTTGAATTCCCTAAGTGTGTATGTTGGGGGTGGGGGTGGTGTGTTCTATAAATAGCTAAGATGCTTACTCACACCCTGGGCATGTTCACCACTTCCTCTTTTTTCTCACCTCACATAACGTACCTTAGATAGTCTTTTGGAAGATTCACAACTATGGTCTGCACATGGTTTGCGTCCTTTTTCAGTGTCTAGAGATGAAACTGAGAAAATATTTTATACTTTATCATGGGTCTAAACTACTATATCACAATATTTAAATTGGCTTTTGAAATATAAAATAGATCATGTATCTAATATTTCTATTCCACTAAAAAATTAAGCAATTTTCCAAATGTTAAATCACTCTTTTCAGCCAAAAACCTAACATAAAAATTTATCTTATATAAATCAGGAAAACCTATTGCAGTGAACTTAAGAGTATGTGGCAACTGACATCATACAATTTTTAACAATGGAATTATTTTGCCTTTTATACCATATATATGTATATGTATGTATAAATGTGTTTACTCTTTCAATATTCTACTTAACTCTACCCATATAACATAGTGTCAGTCATTTGACTAACTCAATTCTTAATCTCTACAAAGAGATAAATGATTATAACAATACTGAAAAGAGAATGAGGTTGGACTACAGTAGTGGCCATGGTAACTAAAATGATGAACATAGTCATATATGCATGCATTGATGTACCTATTTATTCAATAAGTAATTATCGAGAGTCTATTACATACTAAGAGTTATTCTAAGAGTCTGAGACACATAAGTGATCAAAATCTACAAACTCCCTGACTCTCTGGAAATTATATTCTAAGGCAGCAAATGAGAATAAACAACAATACATAAAAACAATAAACAGTCATCATTACAGAAACATATTTTGTGATAAGGTGATAAGTACTAGAAAACAAAGAGCAAGGAAAGAATCCTATAACCTGCAAAATTGCCCTTCAAAAGTGAGAGAGAAATGAAGACTTTCCTAACTAAACAAGAGCTGAGGGAGTTTGTGACCACCTGACCTGCCCAGCAAGAACTGCTCAGGGAGTTCTGCAGGTAAAGTGAAAGAATACTAGGAGGTAATGTGAAGCTGCATGAAGAGAAATAAAGACCTTAACAAAGGTAAGCACACGGACGACAGAAGCTGCTGTTACTGTCAGATCGGATTGTAACAGCAATTTTTCTATATATGACTTAAGAGCCTAATATACTTACAAAAAAACAATTGGTCTAAAGGCTAGTATTACTGTAACTTTGGTTTGTAACTCCACACTTTGTTTTCTATATAAATTAAGAGACTAATTCATTTTAAATAATTATTAGTTTATATTTTGGGGCAGACAATTTATAAAGTAGCAAGTTTATGTCATCAGCAACTGAAAGAGGTGGGGATACAGCTGTTAAAGGAGAGTTTCAAATGGTGTAGAAGTTAGGTTGGTATAAATTCAGATTAGAGTGTTATAAACTTAGGAATGTGAAATGCAATTCCTGTGGTAACAACAAAGAAAATAACTATAGAATATACACAAAAGGAAATGAAAAAGATTTCAACATTTAACTACAAAAAAGTCAACTACACAAAAAAGACTATAATGAAGGAAATGAGGAACAAAACTGCTATAAAGCATAAAGAAAACAAATAGCAAAATGACACAGGTAAATTCTGCATTATCAATAATCATTTTAAAAGTAATTGGATTGGGGACTTCCCTGGTGGCGCAGTGGTTAAGAATCCGCCTGCCAAAGTAGGGGACGTGGGTTCAAGCCCTGGACCAGGAATATTCCACATTCCACAGAGCAACTAAGCCCGTGTGCCACAACTACTGAGCCTGCACTCTAGACCCCATGAGCCACAACTACTGAAGCCCATGCTCCCTAGAGCCCACGCGCCACAACTACTGAGCCCGCATGCTCCAACTACTGAAGCCTGCAAGCCTAGAGCCCATGCTCCACAGCAAGAGAGCCCACCACAGTGAGAAGCCCACACACCCCAATGAGTAGTAGCCCCCACTCACCACAACTAGAGAAAGCCCACATGCAGCAATGAAGTCCCAACACAGCCAAAAATAAACAAATAAATAAGTGGATTAAATTCTCAAGTCAAAAGAGAGAGATTTGAGAATGAATAAAAAAAACATAATCATACTATGTACTGTCTATAGGAGACTCCCTTTAGATACAAAAACAAAAATAGATTGCAAATGAAAGGATGGAAAAAGATATTCCATGCAAATAGTAACCAAAACAGAACAAGAGCTGTTATACTCATAAGAGATAAAATAGACTTAAAATCAAGAAAGGGTATAAGAGACAAATAAGGACAATATATACTAATAAAAGGTTTAACACAGCAAGAATATGTAATGCAAATATAAACATTTACATACCTAATATCAGACCATGAAAATTTTTGAAGTAAAAACTAACAGCATTCAAAAGAGAAATATACATTTCTACAATAACATTTGGAGACTTCAATATCTCACAACAGTGGATAGAAGAGTCAGATAGAAGATAAGTAAGGAAATAGAGGTCTTAAACAAAACAGTCATAACCCAGGACTGGATGACTTCAGTGGTGAGTTCTAACAACAGTTAGAAGAATTAATACCAATCCTTTCAAACACTTCCAAAAAGGTGAAGAGGAGGTAACACTTCTAAACTCATCCTCTGAGGCCAGCGTTACCCAGACACAAAAGCCAGACAAAGACACCATAAGACACTACAGTCCCATATCCCTAATCAACACTGATGAAAAACTCAACAAAATACTAACCAAACTCAGGGGCTTACTAACAGGACCATACACCATGCACAAGTGGGGTTTATTGCCAGAATTCAGGGATGGGCCAACATACAACTATGCCATTTCATCTCAGTAACGCAAGTTGTAGCCAGTGCGTTGTGGCAGGAAAGCGAAATAAGAGGCGTCCAAATTGGAAAAGAAGCAGGAAAATTACTTCTGTTCAGAGATGCTATGATCTCATATGCAGACAGTAAGATTCCACAAATAAAACTGTTAAGAACTAATAAATAAACTCAGCAAAGTTGCACAATACAAAGTCAATGCACAAATCAGCTACATTTCTATACACTACAATGAAAAGCCTGAAAAGAAAATTATGGGAACAATTCCATTTACAAAGGCATCAAAAAGAATAAAATACTGAGGAATTAACCAATTAATTAACCATTAACTTAACCAATACTCAGGAATTAACTTACAATTATAACTTAACCATTGTTGAAAGAAATTAAAGAAGACATACAGAAATGCATGCAATGTTCATAGACTGGAAAAGGTAACATCATTAAAATGTCAACACTACACAAAACAATCTATAGTCTCAATGCAATCAACATTAAAATCCCAACTACATTTTCTGCAAAACAGAAAAATCCACACTAAAATCTATGCGGAATCACAAGGGACTTTATATAAAGTCTTAAAAAAGAATAACGCTAAAAATCACAATCCTTGATTTCAAAATTTACTACAAAGCTGCAGTAACCAAAACAGTGTGTTACTGGCATAAAGACAGAAATATTGATCAATATAACAGACAGCCCAGAAATAAGCCCTCACATATATGGCCAAATGATTTTTGACAATGGTGTCAACACTATTCGATGGGGAAAGCACTGCCTTTTCAATAAATGGTGCTGGGAAAACTGGATATCCACATGCAAAAGGATGAATTTCGATTCTTACCTAACACCATACATGCAAATTAGCTCAAGATGGATCAAAAACCTAAATGTAAAAAATAAAACTACAAAATTCTTAGAGGAAAACTTATGGCAAAAGCTTCATTGGATTTGGCAATGATTTCTTGGATATGTCACCAAAGGTACAAGAAACAAAAGAAAAAAACAGACAAGTGGACTTTATCAAAAAAATTTTTTAAAGTGTGCATCAAAACACAATAGCAATAGAGTTAAAACGCAACCTACAGAATGTGAGAAAATATCTGCAAGTCACATATCTGATAAGGGATAGATATACAGAATATGTAGAGAACTCCTAAAACTCAATACCAAAAAAAGCAAACAACCAGATTAAAAAATGAACAAAAAAACAAAAGTGGTCAATGAGGGACTTCCCTGGTGGTCCAGTGGTTAAGACTCCATGCTCCCAGTGCAGGGGGCCTGGGTTCGATCCCTGGTCAGGGAACTAGATTGCACATGCTGCAACTAAGAACCAGCATGCTGCAACTAAGACCCAGCACAGCCAAATAAATAAATAAATTTTTTTAAAAAATGGGTAATGAATTTGACAAGGAATTTCTCCAAAGAAGATGTAGAAATGGCCAATAAGCTCAGGAAACGATGTTCAACATAACTAATTTTTAGGGAAATGCAAATCAAAACTATAATGAGACACTACCAAACACCCATTAGGATGGTTACTATGAAAACAAAAGAAAATAACTAGTGCTGGTGAGAATGTGGTGAATTGGAACTCTTGTACACTGTTGGTGGGAATGTAAAATGTTGTAGCCACTGTGGAAAAATAGTAGCAGTTCCTCAAAAAAAAATAAAAATAAAAACAGAATTACTATTATGATCTAGCAAATCCACCTTTGAGTATATACCCAAAAGAACTGAATGCACCTATAAGCAGCATTATTCACAATAGTGTACTGAAAACAACACAAGTGGCCATCAATGCATTCACGGAGAAGCAAAATGTTGTATATACACAGAATGAAGTATTATTAGTTCTTAAAAAGGAAGAAAATCCTGCCATATGTTACAACATGGACTAACCTTGAGGACATTTTGCTAAGTGAAATAAGCCAGAAACAAACAGAAAACTACTGTATGATTCCCCTTATATGAGATATTTAGATAAAATCACAGAGATAGAAAGTAGAAGGGTAGATGCTAGGAGCTGTAGGGAAAAGAGCAACTTATTGTTTAGTAGAAACAGAATATCAGCTTCCCACAATGAAAGTGTTTTGGAGGTAAATGATGATAACAGTTAGACATGAATGTATTTAATGCCATGTAACTGTATACTTGAAATGGTTAAGATTAATTTTATGTATGTGTATTTTACCACAGTAAGAAAATGGAAAAAAATTAAAAATAAATGAATTAAATCAGACTTCTCCTCAGAAGCCATGCAAGCAAGAGAACAGTGTGAATGATTTTAAACACAGTGTTGAAAAAAAAAAAAGTCACCAAACTAAAATACT